TATCACTATTATCACTCTGTCACTCCCATCACCCCGTCACATCCTGCCTCTGACATCACCTTCATTACCTCAACCAGTACCACCGTTACTAGGACCATCATTACCATCACTATTACTAGCATCACCACCATAACTATCATCACCATCACTTCTATCCCTACTACCACTGTCCTGCCTCTAACATCACCTCCATTATTACCACCACCTCTACCACCATCATCATCACAATCTCCATCTCTGCTGCCTGTTTCATTATTATCATTATCTTCACCATGTCCACCTCAACTAGTATCCACATTACCATGACCACCAATACCTCCATCATTGTCATCACCACCACCTTCTTCATCTCAACCAATATTGCCATTAACGTGGCCACCATTACCACCACAATTACTACGTCACCACCACTTATATCACTACCATTTTTACTTCTACCAATATCACTATTACCACCACCTTCCTCATCACTACCACCATCATCTCTATCACTACCACCACCACCACCACCACCACCACCACCACTACTATATCTACCTCAGTCAGACTCACCATTACCTCTAGCTCAGCCATGATCACCATCATCACCACCACCACATCTGACATCACACCATCACCACCTGCATCATCACTATTATCACCATGTCCATGTCCACCACTCCCACCACCTTCATCTGAGCAATGTGTCATCATGACCACATGTACACAGTTACTGACTGTGTAAGAGGTATGAAGACATTTGATAAAGTTTCCACAACCTTTGGGTGCCCCGGGGAAGTAAATATCAAGGAAGTAAGTCATTGCTGATGGTCTCAGTCTGCAACTCCAAAGTGAGTAGATCTCAAGAGCTCTATTGGAGCTGCTAGAAATCTTATGATATTCTGGGAAGCTGCCCCTGAATATGTCAGCCTGCATCTCTGAAGCAGGGGATTCACAGAAAATTGCCCAGGAGCTGCTCTGAAACTCTGGGTTGTCATCTGCCTGCAACTGCCTCTTTCTCTTCCACTTTCCAAATCCCATGAATTGGAAGACTCTAACCTGGAACCATATGGGGATTCTGGAAAATCTTTCAGAATCTTCTACTATGCAGAGAAGACTATAGAAGAAGATGGTGGTAGTGCTGAGTTACCAACAGAAAATATAGAACACTACACTTCCAGTATCATTACCTCCACGATCAGCACTATGGCTATAGCAGTCATTCCCACCAGTATATCATTCCCACCGCTTCCATCATCCCCACCATTTTTCACACTATCACAGTTACGCCACCTACGCATCACCACACATCTCCACTTCCACTCCCATAACCAGCAGTACCACCACTGTTTCTGCCAGGGCCATCATGACCACTGCCTCCATCACCCCCATTATCACCTGTGGCAGGCTGCAATATTGATCACTCCCTCTTCCCTATAAGAATATTGTGCCTGCGCAGCTAGCATGGCTCAGAGGTTGAGTGTCCACCCATGAACCAGGAGATTGTGGTTCGATTCCTGGTCAGGGCACATGCCCGGGTTGCAGGCTCGATCTCCAGTGGGGGGCGTGCAGGAGGCAGCTGATCAATGACTCTCATCATTGATGTTTCTATTTCTTTCTCCCTCTCTTTTCCTCTCTCTGAAATCAATTTTAAAAAATTAAAAAAAAAAAGAATATTGTGCTTCATAATCCCTGGTTGGGGTGCTTAAGGGAGGCAACCAGTTAATGTTTCTCTCTCTCCCTCTTCCTTCCTCTCTCTCTAGAATCAATGAAAAACATATCCTCAGGTGAGGGTTAAAAACAAAAAGAGCATTGTGCCTCTCCAGCTGTTGATTGAGATTTTCAGAGCCTTCCTAAAGGAGTGCCATTCCCCACTCCATTGATACTGGCTTTGACCACATGACATGAGCAAGAGTGACACACATCACAACCCAACAGAAGTTTTAAGAGGAATCCCAAGTTTCCATCATCTCTCACCCGCACCCTCTCTGTCATGAGGATGGCATGTTTCAGATTAGAGCCACTTCCTCAGCCTGGGATTCAGAATGAGAAGACCTGTGAGTGGAGCCCCAGTAGCTGACCCATGGGTGCTGACAAGTAAACTGGACAACAACTAAATGTCTTTCATGAGGCACTGAAATGTGGGGGTTGTTACTGTAGCAAAGCTGTATAACACGCAAATTCTACTGCCTCACTGCCTTCATCATCACCGTTACCAGGATCCCACCTCCAGGACCACCGTCACCACCCCAAACCTCACCAACAGCTCCGCTAGTAGCCACTTCCATCACACCTCCACCATCACTATCAGCAACCCCTCTATCACTGCTGGTCTCACAATCACCATCCCTTCCACTGTTACCATAACCACTACTACCCCCCC